GCGATTTTTGCGACATGATGTGAATAACATGAATATTCTCGTCATCCTTATAAATCGGAAATAATTTCAGGTGCGAAGGGTAATTATGGGATATTGTTAATGCTGATTAATGGATAGCACTACAATAGTAATCATCAATATGGGTAACATCACTACTACCACTACTGGTACTACAACTATTTTCATTTGATGAATATCACACAAATACAAAATTTGAATTTGAAACGTTAAAAATTTAACATGCAGAATCTGATTGTTGTATCTCGCCATGCTATATGCAGCATTTTATTGTTTTCAAATTTGGCAAAAAAAAAGGTTGTGGTATGAATTTCAACTTCACAGACAAAGGGCAAAGAGTTATCCATGCAAACCAAATTGCATTGTCGCGATAATCTGAAAGTTTTAAGGAAGAGCTAAATTTATACGATATTTACAGTTCAGATGATTAAAAAAGTGTAAACCTATGATTAAAAAAGTGTAAGCCATAACTTTTGTGAAATTATATATTTTCTACCTGTGAACTGCAGTAAGATTAAGTTTACTCGAGAGATGTAAGCAAGTATTACTATCACCAATAGTTCAGCATTAACATCTGCACCTTAACTTTTTTCACTAAAAATAATCTTTACATGACATTGTGGCTTTCTAAAATTTTTTATTTTAATTAAAATCTCCAAAACTGGTGAAATTTTTCAAAAGAAAAAAATCTAAGTAATCAAAAAATTATTTTTATAACAGTAGGATGTTGGAACTCATTATTTGAAACTTTGCTATCCTATGATATGCACGATAACAGCAATTATGATGATTTCTGACGCTTAAAACTCGATAAAACAGTATTGAAGTTCAGAAGGACAAATGCAGGTAATTGTTATAAATAGTGAAGAAATATATATGATTTAAAGATGATAATTAGGAAGACAAAAGGTTTTTTCAGAAATGTTGTCAATGCAAATCAGTCCTGTCAGAAGATTACCAACCAATTAACAAATGCATCTGTTAAAGAAAGGGAAAGAACTGAATCGTTCAAAGATTGTTTTAGAATTCAGTGAGGAATGAGCCTCCCATGTCATCCTGATTTCCTGTCGAAGAAGTTAAACTTCCAAAATTGTTTTGATAATAAGCAAAAATTAATTCTTAAGAACAGTTATTGATAGGACAACTTAACTGAACAATCTTAAATTTTTGGTATTTAAGACGTCAGTATTATTGTAATATAGCGATACATAATAAATTTTTCATAAATTTCATTTATGTCAAATTTAAAACCATCCACACAATACTAAATTCTAGGTAATGCTAAGTAACAAAATTTTTCTTATTTATCAAGTATACCTTTAAAATATGAATGTGTCAACAGAGATCAGATCACTCCCGCAAGTTATTTTCATGGTCTTCAGGCCAACCGTAAACTTTTCAATGTGCATAACCTTTGTAAATGTCAAGTTACAATTCGTAAACCAATATGCCATATTTACTCTATTATCAGTACTTATTGATCGAGAACAAAGTTTAAACGAAAACGAAAGCAAAATGAATCAATCATTCTGCTAATTAATCAATAGATCAATAAATCATGACAAATCCATGAATGGCACGCACTATTACAACATATTGCACTTGTCATTCTACAGTGACTAAATTCCGATCACTTCTGCTGAATATATTAGCTGTGAATTTTCTTTATCCTTATCATTCTCAGGAGATAGAATAAAATGATCCAAATTTATTCTTTATTTCATTTCCCATTCTGAAATTGCAGCATTGTTATCAATTTAGATAACCAACTGTTACTGATATATCTGATATGTCCAATTTTATGTGTTTTAAAGAATTTTTGAGAATTTAAAAATCAAATTGTTTATCAGCTACAGGGAAGAGCTTGATGAGAAAAGCAATAGCTATTAGTATGCATATGGTATAGTGGATGTTTGAACAGGAGTGTCATTAGCGTTATCAGTGAATAGTGTTGGTGATATTGATGGAGAGGGAGTGATCGAAACTTAACTTTTTGCGCTCCAATGGAACTATGATAGTGATAATGAAGATGAGTACATTCGAAATTTTGCTGGCTTCCTTCTGTTCTCTCCTACTGTCTGTAAATTTATTCATTTCTAATTTTTCTTTTCTTCTTTTCACAACTCAAATCAAAAACTTTTAACTTTACCTTTATCATATCAATTAAAGTATTCGTTATTTTTTGCAGAAATTTTACTTATATTAATTGAAAATTTGTTCTATTGTAATTTTCTTAACAAACAATGAATGCTTGTTTACTTTGGCTTGCATATCTACTTGCATGCATGCAAATATTTTCAAAACTGCTGCAAACAACGCATAATATTATTTCCAATTTTTCGAAAACTTTTTTTTAATTCTTGTAAGCAAATTTGATTATTTTGTTATCGTGATTTTATTCGAATAAGAAAAAAATTCAATATTACTATTCAACCATTCGTTTGACTCATTTTTAATCTTTCGTTTTTTTATTTTCTTTAAGTTAACTTATTCCGCATTATTTTCTCGAGTTTATTATTGAACTTTTAGTTATCTGAAGGAGAAAAAAACTAGAAGAAATGATTAGGAAGAGCGAAATCTGGGCTTAATTATAATTTCTTATTATAACTGTTCATATCTAATTGGAAATGTAGTTTTTTAAAGATGAAGTTTGAATAGGATAAAGAAAAACATATGAGTGGCACAGATGAACACAAAAACTTGGCAAAAAACAACGAAGAAAATCAAGTTACGATTTATCAGAAGATGAATAGTACCGAGGAATTCTTCTTATCTGGAGAATCACGGACAAGTAAAGTTAGTTCATACTTTATATCTATCTAATGCCTCTCACTCTCATTAATAATTATATCCGTCTTTATCTTTAACGATATTATTGTTAATTCTCATCTTTCAATAGTTCAACAAATTTCTAAAATTTTATAGGCATCATCGTTCTTTCGTGACATAAAAATTTTGTTCCATTGAAATTTATTCGTTAAATGAAATCGTTCAAAAGATAAATTGATGAGATCTGAAATACTATATAAAAACTTTATCACTCATTCAGGTTAAATTTTTAGTGATTAATTTATTTTATTGAAGTTGCACTTTAATAAAGATTCATAAAAATGCTTCTTTTTTTAAGGATCGTCGACGATTTACGGTGGTGACAGTATTTGATGTTTGCCTTACAGCTTTATTGTGGGTCATTTCTACGGTAAAGAAGCATTTTTTGAGACAAAAATCACCCACTATTCAATATAATTGCAGAATGATGATAATAATTTTGACTATCATTACATGTAGTATCGACTTATTCCAACTTTAAAAACACCTGTACATCAATTTTTTTTACGAAGCAATGCAATTTTATGTGGAGAAGTCAGGAAATTACAGAAGAGATGAACGACAGAAAAACGTCAATTTTTAATATTGTTTCCGTAGAAACTTGAATTAATGAATTTCCTTCTTTCAGGTAAGCAAAGGCAATGATTGGCCCGTAGTATTTTTTCGTGAGGTCGACATTTCGCAACCGGATTTCATGAAGCTTTCACTATTTGATGTTGTCGTAAGTGATTCTACTTTTTTCAAAACACATTATTTAAATAAGAGAGTGGATATCTGTCAGGTATTGTTGTAATCACAGTTACAGTGTCAATAGATATTTTATATTGCTTGTTTATTACTTTATTTTGAATTTGGAAATTTTGGAATTTGATGAAATTAATTGAAATTATTTTTGCAAGGAAGAAAGAGTGGTAAAACTTCATGTTAACAAAAGACTTGGCTGGTAATTTTTATTTCAGATCACAGCAGTTATTCGTACGTGTATTCTCATCCTTTTCTATTCAATCTTATTAATTGGACATTGGCTTCCTGTTGCCATTACAACTGTTGCAACGACAATTTTTCTTGTTGTAAAGGTTTTTCTATTTATTTTATAGGAATAACTGCTAAAATATTAGACTATAAGAAGTCAATTTAAACAAAAAATTGAAATTAAAGAAGAATAAATGTGAGAAAAATAAAAGTAATTAAGAAATTTGATAAAATTTAAGTAACTTTAAACATATGATCACGCAATAAGAATTAAAAATAAATTTCAACTCAAATCAAATAAATTGGAGCAAAATTTTGTATAACCATAAAATTTTGCTTTATTTTCTGCAAAATTCGTTATATAACTTTTTACTTTGTGCAAATTCATTAGCACATCTATAAGTTATCTTTATTAGTAAAACTTATACAAACCATTTTCTACTGAATGCAATTATTCTTATCGGCAATTTAGGATCTTAGTTTTTAGAATATTTTTTAAAAATGATGTATTTTTTTAGGCGTTATTCTTTTTTTCACCAGCACAGGGTAACCTGCCCCAGTATACGGTATTGGTATCCTCATTTGTGGTTGCTTGGTTCCAGCTTTGGTTGGTACCATTTCATATTTTACCACGTGAACGAGGTTATAGGACTATGCCAAATTATAATACATCTTCAGAAGTCTCAGAACGAAATGTACAGGCTGATGAAGAATTCCGTTCAGCCATGGAATGTTCGTCCGGTACGTGTCAGCTAATTTCATAGCAAGTTTTGATTTCAAAAAGACAAAGAGAAGCAATATCGACTTATCCCAAACTGCGTGCAAAAATTGATCATCTGATCTTAAGTGATTCCTTTCAGATCTTAAATATTCGCAGTTAAACATAAACTTCTGTGGTTAATATTATAAAGAATGGAGAATCGTATGATCTGGAAGTGCAAATAAGATAAGGAAAAGAGGAAGTAATATGTTGATAAAAGAGAGTTAATATATCACACAGAAAAACTGATCATTACAGATTATTGCATTAAATAAATGGATCACATAATGATTCGTCTTATTATGCATGGAAATTTTGATAATTAAAAAGCTTTTCTTAATTTCACTCCTCACAACCATTACATCAAGCAATCATTTTCAGTGCGGTAATCTGAATGGATCCTCTTCTATTTTTAGTTGATACCGTCACTTCAACTTTTTTTTTTCAGATTCGGATGATGACAACTTATCAACGATATTGATTGCAGGGAAAGTATATTCGAAAGCACAATATATCGAGGAAGTAGAGGGAGCAAAGTTAAAAGCTAAAAAGTTATTGACAGAAATTGGTAGCTGGAAACTTCTTCAGAGGTAACCATTTCAGCATAACCTGAGATTCTGATTGTTTTCAAGTAAAACGTTAGGTAATCATGAAATCCGTGATGGTTTTAAAAATATGCATTTATAGTTGTGTTTTTCATACATTAAAGCTTTCTTATAAGGATTCGTAAATTATGTTTCGAACTCGTTTATGAGATGAAAGCAGAAAGTTATGAACTTTGTTAGATTATGTTCAAATAATTTTTAATCAGTTTAACTATATTAGATGAATTTGAATAAATTGATTTTAAGAAAGTTTAATTATTTTTAGCCCTAATTAAAATATTTCTACATTATTTTTTTCTTTTTTAAACGGTAAAAAAATTTAATTGTATGAAATCTGAAATACATCAATCAAGAGACATTTCAAAAAAAGGAATTTATAATTGTATTTTTATATATTGAAGCTTTCTTGCAAATAATGGATGATGATTCCTACCTCTATCCATTATAATTTCAGGAATAATCCAGAAATACGTATATCAAAAGAGAAGCAAGTTTATTTTATGCAGGATACGGTTGCATGTTCACCAAAATCGCTCTTTAAAATTATTTGGAAAGACACCAAATTGTGGAACAAGCAAATCACCGATTTTAAAGTATCTCTTATTTCTTTTCAGTATCTCTTTTAAAATATCTCTTTATTAATAACTTATTCAAATAATCAATAGGTGGGAAATGAAATAAACTTCATAATATTTTATGTTATTTTTAGAACAGTTGGATTTTTGATATTCAAAATCTTTGCTTATTTTTATTTTCTTAGATTTCAAAAACGATCATTAGGATGGAAATTTGAAATTCTAGATAGCGCTTCATATTGATCCCACTACGGAACTGGTCTATATCACTACTGCTCCGATACTACGTGGATATATTTCACCACGGTTGGCTGCTTCTTTTTTGTTTTTTTCTTGTTCTTTTCAATACAATTGATTACAAAAATTGGAAAAGACTGAAAGATGAATTTTGAATTGACTGGGAGGCATTATTCATTAATTTCAGTTAGCTATAGGAATTGAATCTCAAGTATCGCTATCTTGGCGAAAGCTTACAGTACTGATTTTTAAATCATTTTATTAAACTTTTCCAGTGGATGAAACTCGGTTTCTTTTCTTTATAGTTTACAATTATCCAATAGTATTGGATAATTGTAAACTATAAAGAAAAGAAACTAAATTTCAGACCATTTCAAGCTGTTGTATGAATAGAATAGTAGCAGAAATTTAGCTCTTCACAAAAGTAGCATAAATGATTGTAGGGATTTTTTGGACGTTCGGAGAATGATAGTCGATACCGAAAAAGATATATATGAAGGAGTTTACGTCTCGGTGGATTCTTCAATTGTATCAACAAATGGAAACCAGAAACTCATACGTGGAATTAATGGAGCAAATTATGTTCGCGTAACACGGAGTTCCAATGATTCGAAAATGTCTCAGATTGAATGGATTCAGGATAGTGATGTCAAGGTTAATTTACTCATTTTATATTTTATTTAAATTGGATGGTTTAGAATTAAATTATACTTTAGAGTATATAATATTGTTAATGCATTAGATACTTAGTATATTTTAATGCGCAGATAACTTAGTATTTTTGTTTTAAAAAGTTTTAGTGACATATTATAGGCATTTTTGGAAAATCTAATGCACTGCTGTTTTTGAATATAAACACAATGAGCTATAATCATCATATCAACATAACACTATACTGAATGCTAGGAAATATTCATGATATGGAATACTTTTAAATATTCTATTCAAATTTTGAAAAGCTTGACAAATTATAGAGCGGCATTCCACGACGTCTTATTGAAGGGACGATGTGTTCCTTTTTCCGAAATTATATGGAAAGTATGAAAACATTTATCAGCAATCATCCCAATGAATATCCATAACGGCTCGATTCAGTTCTTCATTTTTGGTTATTTCTGCTGCCAAATTTTTGGGATAAGAATTTGTCATCGTAATTTACATTCTCTCTTAATGACTGCAAAGATGCTGCAAGCCAGACGATTAAAGCTTCTTTCCATCTCGACCATTTCATTCAGTTATAGATTTGTTAATGACTTGCATGCGATCACTTTAGCTCATTTTAACTTGGGGCTAACTTATAGAATATATCTTTTGCATTTATTTATTTCAATAGAATATTTAGATCGAATTGCGAAAGTTTTGTAATTACACATGCATGGATCCGCATGAGTGTGAATTATCTTCAAATGGAAGTATTAAAAATTTACTTTTCAGATTGAGACAGAAATACAGAAACAATGAAAGCGCACAGTTGAGCTTGCGAATTATTCTTTCACTGAAATTGTTAAATGAGGCTAAATTGAAGATGACAAGAATGCAAGTTTGCAAGCAGAAAGAAAAAAAAGTTAAAAATTTTGTTAAAATAATCTTTGCTTACTAACTGTATCAAAATTGATTTATTCAATCATTCAATCTTGGCTGATTAATCACTCGTCACATTTTCAACGGAAGTTGAACAAAATGAAGAGAAAACTCCAATAAATTTAAAAGTTTCTCATTTTTTTGCATCTGTCCAATCATTCATATTCTGTTCAATGTTTTCGAATGAATTTCAATTGTTGCTTTCCTTTTCATGAGCGATATTGATCTTCGACTTCACTGATTCCCGATCATTTCCTTTCCTATTCTTGTTTTGCTACATTTTATTGTCTTCCGATCGTTTTCACATTAATTCTTTACTATTAATTTTTCTTTCTTATTGTGACATCAATGAAAACATGGAACTAATCTTCGAAGCAAATTTTTGTGCCAATTGTTTTTCTATTTGTGACTTAACACAAGGCAAAATAAGATGAGGGAAAAGGAAAGAACACGGACGTCAAAATCATTTGTGACAAATCTAGATTTTGGTACTGTGGTAATTCTACAAATATTTAAAATTTTATCACTAAGACTAATGATCCCATCAGTTATTTAGAGAGATTTACTTTTTGCTATGGAAATGAAATGGTGCAAATATACAGTACTGGTAAATGTAATCCTTATCTTCTATCTGTGCAAGTAAAATCTAACAAAAAAGCAAAAAAATTTTACAAAGTAAATCAATGCTAATAAACAAATAATTCGTAACATTGATTTCGAAAGCATCTAAGCTTTTTTTCATTCTTCTTCGAATAAACATCGTGATAGAATCGTTAATTTCTTGATGGATATCATATTTTCAATCGGATCCAGTGAGATATTTTATATAAGTAAAGCAAAATCTACGAACGTTGAGTGAGGAAGTTTCTTGAGAGATTTAAGCCATTCGAAGAAACACTGCTATGTGTAGACCGATCGAGATCAGTCTATCTAGACAATTAATGATCTTAGCGGGTAAGTTAGCATTAAAAGTCTCTTTCAGGAAATTAATACAAGGCCGTAATGTTGTACGGCAGACGAAATAAAGGAGGGGACATTTTTATTATATTTGTGCTCATCTTTCAAGCGGATTTGTACTTGCGAGAATTTCCGAATTCATGAGGAAAAACATAAATTCGTAAAGAGACTTACACGGAGATACACAAAGAAAGAGGAAATAACAATATTTTGGTAAGACGAAAACAACTAGTATTGAGCAGTGAAATGGGTGGGATATGTACTCAGAACTTGCGGCGGCTTCCTCCAACCGGCCATACTTACCGGATCTTGGAACATTAACGGCGACGATAACTTCCTTTAATATATATGTTAATGATTATTTTATCTCAAACATATATGCTAATAAAGATTTAGATTAATTTTTATATATTTCTTATCTATAACTGTTCAAAATTTGAAAATTAATATTTTAAATTCTGCATCAAATTTAAAGAGAAATTATTAAAAAAAGAAACAAATTTTGGTGTTTCATTCACTGAGTGATATTTTACACTTAATGATCAAATGTGTATTGTAATAATTAATTGTCATGATGAATATTGATGAAAATTAACCTCTTTTTTCGGCAGCATACAGCGAGAACAACAACGATAATGATAGACCACAAAGCACATAGGGCTACCGGCACCACAATAAACAAGGCTGAAAGTATTGTTTCAATTTCAAATTTTTAACTTATTCCGTTCTTTCAATTACTTTCACTCAATATTTATAAATAATTTTATTTCTATGACCAATTAAGTTTATCGAAAAAATGAATTAGTTGAGAAATTTTGCAAGAATGTTTTCAAACAATACTTTCTTTGAAAAAAAGAAATGATAGGTCTATATAAATTAAACTAAGAACAACAATATCAGATTTGTTTACAAAGGCATTTTGAAATTGGACAATTTGTTTCAAAATATCATAATATAATACTTACTGCTACTGCTATCCGTTTCCTCAATTGTTTTACCACCGACGTAAAGTTCATTCCCGACATCACTGTAATCTTTGGCGAAAGGTGGAGTAGTCGTTGTACTTACTTTCATATTTATTTCTTTGTGGTCTTTCTGTACCGCTAATTCAGTGTTTACCTGATACATGGTTTTGTTATACCAGAACGTTCTTTCATTCTTTATCAGTTAATTTGTATCTATAAGTAGTCGTAAAATTCCGAAAAATGTAAATGTTAGAGATTTAAAAGATTAAAGAAATGCTAATTTTACCGGTTCATTGACCCAATTATGCATCAAGAATGGTGTTTCATCCATATCACTATCTATCTCAACACTCTTGGGTATTCCGAGTGGTACATTCGTAATTGCATTATCCATGATTGGCGTTATTGCTTCCTCTGAAAATTACTTAACAACTTTATATGGACCAAATTTTTATCGTAATGAAAAATTAAAGAACTTTAGCAAAATTCATATAATCTTTCAACAATGGCAGCTTTAAAAATGTGAATCAAATTTTGGATTAAAAATGTTTTCTTATTTTTATAAAAGCAAAACCTCTAAAATCAAAATAAATGAAAAATTTTTTAATTCCTCTAAAATCTAGAATTTGGCATTGAATTAATTTCAATTGAATTTTTGATAAACTCTATTCACTTAATGTATTTTAAAATTTATTAAAATAACTCAGCAACAAATGTAACAAATAAGATAACCTATTGGAGCATTAATTCTGAGACAATTCAAGCCATCACCATGATAGCCATCATTACAAACACATTCCGGTCCTTCCGGAGATTTTTCATCACATGCGGCATTTACCGAACACTTTTCTTTATATCGTAAATAACAAGCATCCATCTCTGCAATACATTTCATTCTTCCGTTCACAATCCAATCTTTCGTAATATATCGTTAAATATAAAGAACGTGTAGCGTTATTGACAACAACACATTTTGAGAATTGTTCCGTTATTTAAGTAAAGTAACATTAAATTTGTAATAATTCAAAGAGTTACACGCACTTTCCTTTTATCATTCAAAAATGTCATGACATACGTTTGCATGTGAAGCCATCACCCATGAAAAGTTCATTACATTTGCACCGGTACGTCCCGATTTCGTTTATACATGTCGCTTTCGGTGAACAATTATGTCTTTCCGTAATACATTCATTCACATCTACAATTCAAATATTTAGTCGTTATCATGCTGACAGTCTCTTCGACCGGCAGATTGGTTAGTGCGGTGAAATTTATTGCGCTGTACGATCAAACTTTGTGGTAATCTTTTGGAAAGGTTTGCATTATCTTTGCAGAAACTGTAGAATGACACAGTGATGAAAACAAAATTCTCTCAATATTCATTAACCTTCGAAGCAATTAACACCAGTCCAACCATCTGCGCATTGAGCATTGGAACAGAAGCCTGTCGCAAAATCACATGGAATATCATTACGGCAGTGACATTTATTCTCGCAACGGAATCCCCACGTACCTGCATCGCACTCTGAAATGGACACTTTCGCTGACACATCATAAGGACTCAGCCAAATTGTCTTAATTATCTAATAATTTATTACAGTATATCTTTTGATGTTAATGTGTCATCGGCAGCTGTCCTAATAAAAGATATCCGACTCTAGTCAAATCGTCCGACACAATTTACGGACTGATCGGTCCTTATCGGTAAACATATAACCGTAACTTTCAGGCCTAAGGATGTAAAATATATTTTATTATAGTTTAACAATATCTGTTAAGGTTACTTACATAACGAAGTATCATTCTTAGAGAACGCTTGCTAATACAGTGACTGATCAAGTTGACCTATGATTAACCTACCTTTAGTCTCTTTCAATAGACTAAAATTCATCGCGAAATTCAATAAAAATGAATCCATTATTAAGAACCTCTCTGGCATAGTGGTGGATCCAATGTACCACCCGGACAATGTAATGGTAGAACTCCATCAACTCGGAATAGCCACTTCCCTTGCTCTCCAATATTCGATCGATTAGCCAACATTTCAAAAGGCAATTCAAAAAATTCCACCCCAGATGAAAAGCCACTCAGGCCGCTGTCTGATTCAATCTGTTCAAACAAATACATAACAAATGTTGCATTATCGCCTTGCGCTATTATCACTTGGAATGAATTTTCCTGCAATTATTCAGCAATGATTGTCAGTTTATTTCATTTTTATCCATAAAATAATGAATAACTGATATTATTATTCATGTGTATGTGTTTGTGTCTTTCGACAGACAAATAAAAAAAAAAATTTAAAAAGTATGAAAATCACGCATTGCAATAACTTTTCTTTGATTTTATGCATATTACTACAAGAAAAATGACATTTTGATAAATTTTCTTTAACATATGAGTGAATGTATAAATGTGCATATGTAAGAAGAAATTTTCTAAAATTTAAATTTAAATTACGCTTCGTTTACTCTTTTTCTTTTATTTCTCACAAATTCTATCACAAATTGGAGATATTCAAATACCTGATCAGTATCAATTTCTAACATATGATCATATGAAATGATAAACAATGAACGTGTGCGAAAATCTTTCTGATGAAATTTGTTATTTACACTGAGAGATAGACGAGCCAACAATGTATAATCTTTTGGATCGGTGTCTGAAATATGCGCATTGTAATATTTAGAGAAATGCTTAAAGTTTATCCAACCTCATCCTAACTGCTATTTTTATCCTTTCATGTAATTAACTTAATGTTTGATTACATTGGATTAAAATTTTTTAATCTAATTTTTTTTTGAAATCTTATTTATATAGCCCTTTGAGATGCATCAGAGATAGAATTGGAGAATGCAAAAGCAATCTTAATATATTCTCGAAATTTTCAACAGCAAAAGCTAGAGGATATTGTCCTGTGATTAAAAACATGGCTGAGCCAAGCATCATTAAGTTTTTCACGTCAGATTTTCAAATACATGTTTTGGCTCATTGCTATGGATCGAACGACTTTATCGATTTCGATTTGATCCATCTTGTAATTTAATCTATTGCGCCAGCAATTATTTCCATTGCTGTTTAATATCTTCAAAATTAATTTTTTGCAATTTTAGTCCTTCTATTCAAATTAAAAAATAAATAAGAAAAAAGCCAAAAATACCAACCATCAATGACTTTCAGAACGACTTTTGAGCTATCATGAAAGGTATAGTGCTGATAAAGTGGCAAAAATGCTGGAAAACGAACATTGCCATCAAGTTTTAATGGAAGCGGCTCTCCAAAACTTATCCCACCATTTGATGAAATCTGAAATTAATAAATTTAATCTTCAAGTAGTATTTCCTTCTCCACTTACCATCAATAAATAGCTCAACAAAACTCAACCTTTCATATTGTAATGCGATAATAGTTAATGACAGGCAATTCTGAAGTATGTTTACAGGAAGATAAAAAAGATACCGCTACACCGGTTATTAGGATCAGTCTATCCCAATGACTGACTGATAGACATGCTTGAAGAGTAAGTTAATATGTTTTTTTTTTGAATTGATATTTGACAATCTTTGTGATATTTAAGTAGAAAAAAAAATTAAATGCCTACATAAAGAGTACGATAATTTCGGCCAAAAAGTTGGAGAGGTCTATCCATAAGATAATCAGCAACAGCATTCACCCGAGCAAGTACTTTAAGTGTTGGATTATCGACCGGGAAGAGAATCGTTTCTATAATGAACTATAATTCATACCTTGTAATAATAAAATATCTCAACTTCTTCTTGTCTGAGACAACTGACATTAAATATCACCAAACTGTTAATTTTTCTCTTCACTAATTTTGTTAACATACTCACTTTTTTTTATTATATGTCAAAAATCAGTGAATCTGATTAGAGTTGACTTATCCTGAATTACTGTCTAGTTGAATTGACAGACAAATTGATATTTAATTCAATAACTTTTTTTTCAAGGACAAATTACAACTTTGCATTTGTTACAGTGTAAAATGCTTAAGAAATGCAGAAAATGTACACTTACCGTGACATTCGACCCCATTACCAACAAATCCGTCCATGCAGGCGCATCGGAAGGATCCATGTAAGTTTGTACATATTGCTGCCTTATCACACGGATCATACCTAAATATTAATATTTTACAATTTTAATTTACGAATGTAATATTTTGCATATGTCAGTAACACATCACTCATTCACAATGTGAAATCTTTTTGAAAGTTTGAAATTGATTAGCTTACTTGCATTCATCGATATCAACACATTGTCCCGTGTATTGGTCACGTTGAAAACCATCCGCGCACTCGCATTCATAACTGCCCACTAAATTCTTGCAAACTCCTTTCTCACCGCAGTAAAAGTCCGATAGTTGGCACTCATTCACATCTATATTTATTACTTAATTTTCGAAATGAATAATTTCAATCTCTCTTCACGCCAAAAAAGCATATGTCATTTTCTTCTATGCTTCAAATAATTTAACTTATAGTGACATACCCACACAACCGTGCGGACTATCCGGACTACCGGCATAACCGGGAGCACATCGACATTCATAACTTCCGTCTGTATTCACGCAAATCGAGCTATTCTTATTGCCATTGCATACAATAATTCCTTCGGCACATTCATCCAAATCTGAAAGATATTCATTTAAAAAACCATTAAATTCAGAAATTACATATCCTTCCTCAATAATGCCTTTATTCTTTTTTTATTTGTTGGTCAACAAATAAAAATCACTATAAGACGAAAGTAATCCTGCGAGTGGGGAAGAAAGTGGCAGAATTGAAAAGAAAAATTTGAATTGAATAGCTGAATCACTAATTCATCAAATACCAGAAAGATTTATTTGATCGAGCCAACGAGTAACAAATAGATATATGCGATGGTCACAACATATTTGAATTATTCCAATATAATGCAATCGTTTTTTTCAATTTCAAAACTTACCAACACATTTTCCATTACTGTCAAATATATATCCAATATTACACTGACAGCTATATGAGCCTGGACTATTTTCGCACAGCGCATGAGCACCACAAACACTGGGCTCACCGAAGCATTCATTGATATCCATACAAGATTTGCCATCACCGGTCCAACCGGATTTACACTTACACACTCTTCCGATACATTCTGCATTTTGATCACAATGACAGCTTAGTGAGGTGATATCCAAAATTGTCTTCTGCAATATTCAATTCCGCTTAAAACATTTTAAGCAATTTAATCATTTGGGATGATTAAACAAAAGAGTCAACGCGTGTATTGTGCCGGACTTTTCCGTCACTTTTTCTTTGCTTCTCTTACTTCAACTTTAACCTTGACGCATTACTTGAAAATCAATCCAATCCATTACAAAGTAATTGAGATAAAAGTTACAAGATATATGCCCAATTAAGACCAAACAATGATTGTGCGAATACTAAACACATAAGGATCATAATTTCTGACGCTAATTTTAGACAAGATAATAAGACTTTTGTCTCACTCACTAAATTAGGCCAATACTTCATGATTTTCTATATTGATACATAATTTTTAAAATTCATGAGATCAGCTGTACCAGAATGAAGTAATCGCCAAACACTGGGATGAGTAAAAATTTACTTTAGTAGGAAGAGGAGTAAATTGGACAGTTATAGAGTCATTTAATGAAGTACTCAGTGTTGACCACTGAGTTGTTGTAGTAGGACGTTTTGTTATTTGAGTATTGGGCGCAACTGTCGTGGATGCCAGCACAGGTTGCACTGGAATAATATTCACTGCTATTGGTTCACTTTTTCCGCTTTTGAGGGGTAATGTACCTTAAAAACAATTACAACTTTGAAATGCAATTATTCACTGTGAAACTGAGGTTTAGAGTGATGAATTTTCTCACAATACCGCTGTACACAGGAAAATACGATGTGCATTTACGGCAATTCAAAATTTGCTTACCTTTGCATGCATTAGTGATGTTATCATATTCATAACAAATACATAAGTATGCGCCAGCAGTATTCACACAATCTGGTTGCTCTTGGGGGCAGAGGTCACCTTTTTCTGCACATTCGTCTACATCTATAATTGATAATATATCAACTAGTAAGTAATTCATACTATTTATACTTACCGATACAGTGCAATACATTATTTAAACAGCAAAATTATCACCTAATAAATTTTTTGGGAATTTTTAAACTTTCGAAATTTTATTGCTCAAAAATAAACTTGCCATCTTCACAAATTGGTGCCCCAGTCCAACCAGGATTACATTTTCCACCTGGACAAGCTCCTGTTTCAGCATTACATTGTGCGCCACCATTGCAGTGACATTGTCTGGTACAATCAAGACCCCATTCTGCGTTTGCACAAGTTTCAGCGCATTCTTCTCCCTCAAAATAATTTAAAACTTTTAAATTAAAAAAAAAATTTTTGCAATCCATCTTTTTTAGTTATCTTCTCGAAAAATGTTGAGGTATAACGGATTATGATTATCAGCAAGATCCCTATACTTCTCTAATTACACTTTAAAAAGAAATACTTTGTATCCAGCACCACAAAGAAACACTTGATCGGAATCAATTCGAAACAGGAATTCTCCCGGTATACCGATATCGCTTTTCTCGGCCAGTTGTATTGCCTCTTGTGACCCTGAACCGGGCAACGAATAATGACCGTCTAAACCGCTAAAACCTGCCTGCAAGCGAAAAGAATAAACTATCCATTCGCTCATATAAAGATTACTGCGAAAAATCATAAAAATATACTTTTTCGTATTATTTGGCTGATTCTACCGTTGGCGGCTTAACAAACGAGTTAATCAAGAAAATGAATTTTAAAAACAATGGAATAAATCGGATTCAGAATTCAGGAAAAATTTGTAATTGATTTTTTTCAGTTATAGCAACGAAAATTTACCACAGCATTTTTATTAGCATTCAATTTTTTATAAACGATATGCGCAAACGTTCCACTATCACTCATAATCAGTGCCACTTGAAATGAATTACCTTCCAAATTCTGTAACATCAATATGTTTTTCATATTCTGTGATAATTCTATTGATCGTTTTTGACATGCAAAAAAAAGAGATTTCACTATTTCTGAAATAATGAAACATGGAACTAATTGTAAATTCATGATCTGTTCGATAAGAACTGAAAAGTGCGGTAATACTTACAGGTTCTGTAATCTCATGAGTATTTTCCCAAGTAACAATAAGTACCGCGTTGGGTTTAAATGCTGATCCGTAACGATATTGGATGTTTACTTCATTTTCCACTAAATGCAAAATTGATGAATCTGAAAAAGAGAAGAAAAAATCTTGTATTAAATGATTTCTTTTTTAATGAAAATTAGTACTGAACAGTTATTCCACTCTTGATACTATCCTCATAATAATTTTTACTTTTAAATTTAAACTGTTTAAATTATAGGTCATCGATAAATATGTCACCAGTAGAACAGCGCTCTTTCACACAAAACTTATCAATTAATTGGTTAACATTAAAATTTCGCAAGAAGTTTACAAGATTTCTCAAAGGATGATTAATAAAATTATATTTTTCCTAATGGATCAGATAGAATTGATAGCCAAGTTGATTTCAACTTCGAACCAGTCACTATCCATTTTTCAATTCAAAATTTACATTTTTTTTCATTTTCTTTGCAAATCACTAAAATCATGAATGATTTGTAAATATACTTTTACTTTCGGATGGTTATTTCAGACAATATGAAGTGGAAATAAAGCGTAAGAGTAGAATATTGGACCAAGTCTGATATGTTTAGATACAAGACCTCAGATAATTAATTTTTAGTGCTAAGGAAACAATGTAACTTAGCTAATCTGCACCATAAATGATAATTCTCTTAAATCATTATACTAAATTTCACTCCTTTTACATTTTGCAACAGTTTATCATTGCAATCTTTGGAATGCTAAAAGAAGTTTGGAGGATTTGAAATTAAATAACATCAAAATAACTGCATAAACCATTTGATTCTCTGTAGTGCACTTTTCCACCCTGTGCCGGCATCCAATACACCGCTATTACCGGTTGCGGGGATGGTAGTTTTGAGGGTTTCATCGGTACCGCTGATAAACCAATTGCTCCGTCACGTCGAATCTGCATTCTTTCGGGAATAAATGGATATATCAAATATAATTTCTAGCTTTACTTATTTACAATAGTTCTTCCTTAGTCAAAAATAAAATTAGTATCACATGCTGAACACTAATGTATTCATAAAACTCGACTAACTATCCAATATTATAAGCAACTCAGATTTGAATAATTTTTAAAATATTTATAATTTTCGTATATAAGTTTCGTACAAACTTTCTATCTCATGACGAAAATAATCTCAAAAAAAAAAAAAATGAAATAAAAAAATATTTACATTAACAGCGTCATATTCTTTGCCAAGAAATTTAAATGATCTGCTCAGTTTAATGATTTGTGAGGAGCCTGCAAGAATCTGATCACCTTTGGCTTCACCGAATGGATACAATCTTGCACTGAAGACATATGGCACTGTGATGTTCAAATCAATTTGCGGTGTATTTGAGGTATCAAACTGACGTTTGTATCGATAATGGTCTGCAAAAAATTGGTTAGTAGTAATTAATTTGAGTTTTAATCATTTCGACCTGAGATTAATCAACTTACTTCAAATTAACTCTAAACTTATTTTCTGTAAAATTAAAAAAATTGTTCAAAGTCCAAAAGGGATGGATTAATGAAATTTCAAAATTATCTAATGTAACTAGACTAAAGTGCATGATTTCGCAAAAGATTATAATTCAAAAATACGAACCTAATTCGTTACGCTAATTCGGCAGGATAATATTTAATATTTAAAACTTAGAATATATAAAATTTAAATATCGGATTTATGTGTAATCTTTATTTTGGGTTATATTATAGTAATTGATAAGCTATTTTTTTTTAGGATTAAGATTGCTAGCAATTGTATTGAATAATAAGATGGATCTTAGCATTCATGACTCTCACTTCCAATCTGTTACTGTTGTAAAATGTGAATTTCTTATTTAAACAAAAACAATGAAGACAGCAGGGAGTGAGTGATAAGATCTTTTCAATTCATTTTTTTTTCAACATAAAATCTTCTTATTATTATTTATTTGTTATTATTACTATTGTTATTTATTACTATTTGTTTGTTTGCTTGTTTATTGTTATTGTTATTATCATTATTATTACTATTTAACTAAGATAGATTACAGATATTATAAATAATTAATAATAATAATTAAATGGGTCTATTTTCTGGTCCGCGTGACATATGAATAAGGCATGGTCGGTAGTTGACCTGTCGAATTCTTATAGCACTAGCGATAACCCAGTGAAGTGAAGTATCCATTGAATGACGTAGAACTAACCAACTCCTTTTCAATCTCTCATCCTATTTTCTCTTCGATCCTCTTCTTTCCCACTTCATGCTCGATTATAATATTCTGTTCAACAATCATATTGAGTTGAAAATTATAATAAACAGGAATGGAATTGGTCACGTGGAATGTAAAATTTTCCTTTAATTGAAATTATTAAGGTGTGCTGAATGATAAGATTAATTACTTCTTGCCGGAAATCTTTCCATAAGAAGAGTAAAGAAATAACGAAAATGCAAAATGATAGTAAATAAGGTAACATATTGGATTTGCTTTTTCCGTTAAAAATCTTCAAACCGTTCATAGTTTACATTTCTGTACTTTATAAAGGATAAGAATAAGTTTACCTTCTTTTGTAAAACATAATTTTAAATTTAGAAATTGGATTTAAAAAGCTAAAACAAAACTAATGAAATTTTAATTTCAAATATTGCAATCATTCATTAACTTTCAATATATTCTTGTAGTAATAAATGAATTACGAAAACAATTCTAAATTTTTATGGTATGAAAAAAAAATTCATAACAATAATGAATTATCTGGCGCTCTTTCGATATGACAAATTGCCTGACTCTTATATTAAAGCAAATAAATTGACCCGATTGCCATATCAGAGCAAAATAGTTGACTGTAGCTTTGAAACACATTTTAAACAAATTAAAACGCTAAAATTAAATCGCATAAATTAAATGAATGCTGTTTAATTATTTATCGAAGGAATTAAAAATGAATTAAAAGTATATATTATTAAATTTAGTTGAAATTAAAATGCAAGAATTCCGGATTTAGTGAAAAGTGATCCGTTGAAAGATAATCATTTTAAAATGACTAAAATTTTGATTTCAATCTTTTTACGACGACTTGATTACAAGTAAAATTTTCGAAAAAAAAATTGTTCTGATTTTTGTTTGTCACTTGTGAGAATAACAATGGATGAGAGGAAAAAGTGGCAAAATGAGTTATGAAATAAGAGATTTTATGATTAAGAGAAATTCGCAGAAAGAGGAATTTTTAAACTTCTTTTCACTTTAATTCATTGTCAAAATATTAAAATGTCAAAAAAATATTTGTCAAATAAGTATTTCCAAAAGTGAGGAATTAGTTTTCATAATGAAGGTCTAATTGATCTAATTAACAATGACATTTAATCTTAACGTTAATCTTTAAAACGGAATTAACATACTTAATTTTTACATCATACTTTATCCATAACTATTATAAAAGATGAATGAAGAAAATTTTCTCACAAAACGTCAATTTCAATTTAAGTCTAAGCAATAAGATTTCCAATTGATAAGCTAAAATAACTATAATTGTGGTCATTATCAGCATTACTTAGTTTGCTAATTAGCCAGAAGAGAGCAAACAAGAGCTGTGTAATTCTTTTATTTCCTTGATGATTCTATACGACAAACATTACAAACAAATTCTCAATAGGTCAATCATGTGTAATAATCTACGAATGGTCTTGTTACATTCATTCTCTTCTGGATTCATTTCTTTCATACATCCATTGCATTAGTCATTTACAAAATTTAAAATTATCTGTTAGAAAATGAAATTCAAATTATAATACGTTAACATTTAAAGCATAAAACTATCAATACAAATGTTAATCATTGCTACCTTCTATTTTTCAATTCATATTAAATTTTTGAAATGTTTTATTACTCAATGAACGGTAAAATGCAAGAAAAAAAACTCGGTTGTTGATTTCATTTAAAGAAAATATCCCAAAGTAATTCTAAGCAGTTTATCAGGAATGTTGCAAAGAAAGAAAAAAAAAGTCGAGATGCCCGTAAAAATTGTTATTCCCTATAATTTGTCACCACAGAGATAAAAGGACCATTTTTGGGAAAGCATTTAAAAAAATAATGGAATTTACAACAATTTCAAATAGACATTGGATCAAACGAGATTCAATTCAATATAATGATTTTAAAGAAAAGGAAAAAGACAAAAAATTGAAAAACACTCCCCAAATAACAAAAACTATCATTCCGATTAAAATGACCATTGTTCAATCAATTGTTGAATTTTATGTCTAACTATTCGTCATTAACTTAGATTAACAATTTTTTGCTACAACTATTTTATTCAATTTTTAATTCTAATTTAATTATCGTTTTTTTATTCAACATTCTTCTGTTCATTGTACCCTAAAACACTTCAAAAATGCGTTTGTTCGGAAACTTTTTAGCGTAATATTTTTTTGAAAATTTCTATTCGAATACTGAATCAAACATTCAATTCAACTTGCATCTTAAGAATATTTCAGCATCTACTAAGATTAATTAAAATATCAGATATGAAGGAATAAACTATTACTTACTTGTCGCCTTTCTCCCATTTACAGGTAACGAATAGCAGGACAACTACCAATGTATTTGATTCTAATGAAGTGGAATAATCTTAGCAATGTAATTTTGAGAGCACATAATGAAATGAAATCTATTCTTTAAATCTAGCAAATAAAATCTTTTAAATTCCTTTTAATCCATTAAGAATTAGAAATAATTGACTGACAATTAATTTAATGTTCCCAATATTATAACCATTCAATACTATCAAATGCTGTCCTATCACTATCGACCATTATGAAAATGGTTACTGAAAGATTTTCGATGTATTGTCATAAATAATGCAACATTGAAAGATTGAAATATGAAATTGCATTTCACGTAAGTATGAAAATTATACTCACATGAATAAGGATGATCGTTCTCATCAGCAACTGATATAATAATAGTAATAGCCAAAGAGATGAGCAGAAATAGCAATGAACCGTTCATCACATGCATCAAACCGTTTAAGTTTTACGGAACGTGAGTCTTCTCAGACTGTCAGTTATACTCTTGCCCTAATTTACTTCTCCGTACTCCCCTCCCCTGCCATTACATCTCTCCTGCATCTTCACTTCTCATACAACTCTTCCTCCCTCTCTCTTTTCTATCCTTATCTTTTTGTAGTTTGAGGGGAAAAGAGAGATGAAATAAAATTATATTATCTTATTAATTTGTTTAGAGAGAGGAAAGGATACAATTGTGATAAGGCGAAGAATGAAAGTTGAAAGATGGGAAAGGGAAGATGAAAAGGACGGAAAGGTTTATTACTATAATTCTGTTTATTTTCTTTTGCGATTTAAAACCGATAACTGATGAAAAAATTAAATTGATATCAAATTATCATTTTCGAAATAACTCTGGCCAATATTCTATCAATATTTATCATCCGTCAAGCAAAGAATACAGAAGCATTATTATAGAAGTTTTAAGCCATTTATAAAATTTAACACTGTAAAAAATCATCAAATCTTCTTAACTTTTGTTCTTCAAATAGAAGATAGCAGGAAGAAAATATACCTGAAAAAATTACAAATACAGATTCAATTTCTTCTCCTAAAATTAGAAATGTGTGTATCAGCAAGGAAGATATTGAATTACTTTCCTCAAGTGAATAGTATAAAGTATTATTTGCAAATTATTGTTCAATTACTATCATTCAGAAGTTGGAAATAGGGCAATATTTATATATGCAAAAAACATGTATGTCTATAATTTGCGCCAAATATCTGAGCCATATATTAAAAACACACTGGGAGTTATTCATTTATTTATATTAACTTCGAGAAAATGTGTGGATGTCAGATCAAGCACAAGAATAGAAATCTATATCTTTTATAGCATTAGCTAGTCCATCTCAAGTGTTTTACCAATTAGCCTGAACTTTCTTCATGATATTATCTATATGATGAATGAATAATTCATTTATTTTGATCATCTTTTGTCATGTCATTTATTGTGTGACTTCAAATAAATCTTTCAATTAATGAGTAATTCGCTCACCGACAATCACAAATAAATATTGTTGTGCCTGTAGATGAATGATGAAATCATTCTTCTTTTCATTTTCATGACAAATAACTTAATTAACTTCTATCCTCTGCAATTTTTCGCACTTCCGCCTTTTTCATTTTGATCCCAGGTCCTTCGATCGCCTAGTTATTCCAGGCCTAGTAAATATGATAAGGACATTGGTTATTATCTTCATACTTATTAAAAAGTGTCTCTAAAATGGAGCACAAAGCACAGTAAGAAAGTCATCAATTTTTCCCGCAAAATTTAATTCGACAAGCGAGATCTCATCGCGGCATGCAAGTTGCAACTACTGGAGCAGTAGTGACAGATGGTGCGATTTACCGATGGTTGTTGGATTACTTGCACTGTGAACTATTTCTATATTCATAAATGTATAATCATGTTTGGGAAGCAGTTACAGTAATGATAGTATTATTGGAATGAAAAAGATAATTTTAATATTCCTTGTGAAGCTACTTTGATTAAGAAAAATGAATTGCAATCAGAATTATCGTTTAGTAATTAACGCTAATAAGCGGCATTTAAAAATTTATGAAAAAAGAAAAAAAAAAGTAAATAGACTGTACGATAATATAATCCTAAAAATGGCATAAATTAATGATTGGATATAATGCTTCTGGATCTTCTTCATAGAAATTTAGACTTAATTCAATGAAGAAGGAAATCGTAATTACGACTAGAATCAATTTGAAATCAATTTTAATTTGATTACAATTGAAGTCGACTAATTTGCATCATGTAGCATTTATAATTTTCAGACGTCCGAAGAAATCTTGATTTCAAATCAACCATAATTAATCTAATCAAAATTTTTACAGCAAACACTTAATTTGTCATAGCTTATCTCAATAAACGGTGATAGGGAAAGTACTATTTTATTCTGTTAAAAAGTTGGGCGCAAATTTGAATTTCATTCGTACTGACTCTCATCGTAAAATCCATGTGTACTCAGGTAAGTAACATATACGTGTATATATAAGTTTCTATGTATATGCATGCACTTACTTCTCTACCCTAAAATTTATGACGACCCAAAAAATCAAACATATCTAAAAAAAAGTTTGCAAATCGCTTTTTGAATTGGCCTAATTCTTATGTATGTCGAAAAAAGAGATGAAAAGAAAAACAGTGCTCTTAATGCATCAATTCATCATCAATTTCAGTAATTTTTATAGCACAAATGAATTAATTCAGATTAAAAAAAATGGTTTCAAATGAAATCTTACGCGAAAAGTTAAAATAATACAAAAAAAGATTAAACTTCTTTTGCAATTCTTCATTATCATAATTTTGTGTTCCAATTTTGCAAAAAAAGAGAAAAATGCAAAATTTTTATCAATTTGATTCGAAGTGAAGAATCATCAAAGAAGATTTTCCACACATGATATGAGGTTTAAGATGTTAAAGATGATTTAATTTGATGATATTTAGAAGTTATCTTCAAATTTTGCTAATTAAATTGCAATTAACGGATGTTAATTGGCTGATAGAAAAAGCAGGAATAAAGGAAATACAAATTAAAAGTTGAATGATTTGGAAATGATTAATAGAATGAAATGATTAAAAGCAGATGTAAAATTATATAATCTTTCTTTCGTTCTTTGTGCAATAACTGCTTGTAATATTCACGAAAATTCCAAGATTTAAGTTATTTAATCCATATAATCTTATTATAGTTTCCAAAGTCTCTTCGAATAAAGAGTGATATGAAATTTGTAAAAGATATGATGAATTTATCAGTTCCAAATTCGACGATCCGTCGAATATGTTGATTACTATAAAACTCCAATTTATGCATAAGAATCTTTCCTACTCAATATTTGCAACAGCTGTTCTATCAAATGTTACTTTTCGATTTACCCATCGAACAATAAGCTTACCAACAATAAGCTTACTTACTTTAGCTTATAAATTGTCTGATTGCAGCTATTTTTATACTCATTAATTTCTGTATTTAATTACTGCTTAACAATGTTATGTACAATGCCATAAGTAAAATGATACAATGTTTGCGCAAATTTTGCAACATAGACTTTTCCGGGTGAAGCGAAGAGGAATATAGGAAATTAAAGGAAATTTACAAGGAAGGAAAGAGAGAGGAATACAACAATTGTTGTTGTCACATATAACCTACACAGTATTTATTATCACAAACATAATTATTACGGTTACCTTGACGAAGTTAATTAGTTGTTTTGTGTCAGTTAGTTTATTTGTCACAGTTATGAAATTGTTGTAGTTTCAGTTAATTTACTCAGATCAGTAATCTTATTGAGAGTGGCAATAATGAGACGAATAAAAGTAAGTTTATTGAAGGTTGATTCTTTTATGAGAACAGCCAACAAATGAATGATTATTCAGAAATTCACTGTCGATTTCATGTTTATTCACATTGTAATATAATAATAGCATTTCATGAATAACAAATGAGAAATGAAGGACAAATATAAAATATGAAGAATGCAACCGTTCTTTCTTTCTTCTTCCACTTGCCTGACTATTATCCGTCTTTCTATGCTTCATATTGCAATCGAAAGTATTTGAAAATCATATAAGATTGCATTCATTTGTTACGTATAAAGTGAAATGCATGCAGTGCAGCACCGTATGCTGCACTACATTTTGGATTTGCTTCAGTTGGAGAGGAAACATCCAGTAACCCTTGACACTGGCGGATTATTTCGTCGATGAAATAATCTTTATTCGCATTGCCAGCTAATTTGATGCGTCTAATTCCCCACTCTCGAAGCTGATAAGGTGGAAGAAGACGAAATATGTTAGAAATGATCCCACAGGCTGTACGATGCAGCAACTGAAAAGAAACTTTTCGAATCACTAAAGCTTAATTTTTTCACGGACAGTTTGGTAAAATTAAGAGATATGTAAATTCAATATACGTGTCTAAATGCAAGAAGTTACTGAAAGACAGTACTTTGAAATCTCTTTTTGGATTTCGACGGCTATACTTAATTTGTTTTAAAGTGTAAAATTAAATTCTGAATTTTATTCTTTTAATTACAATCTCGAAATTTACTTTTTTAGTATCTAACTGAAAACGCACACTATGAGATTTATTTCAATAAGTTGTTTCTGGTTCAAAGCTGAATATGTAGAATTCATTAAATATACCTCTTCGATAGTGGTGCTTGAACTGATTCCGGAAATACATGATGAAATATTGTCCGCACGTTCCGGTAAAAACACTGGTTGAATATCAACCGTGGACGAGGAACACTTTCTAGTTTTATTTAATATATCGTTTAACTTTTCATAATTTATCTGTAGATCGTTGGTACCTGAGATAAGTTGTGAAGCCCATTCAACGATTTTCTGTAATGCAACGATATCATTTATTATATAAGAATACTGTGGGGTGATTATAAAGGACTTAAGTTTTCCGGGAATCCTGATTTCAAAATTTCAATAATTTTTTGCAATTTTAGCTTCCTTCGGGATAAAGGTTGAAGTGGAAAATGTATTTGTTTAAATAATATCATTTGCCGAATAGAGGTATTTATAACAAATGGAAATGAGAAAGAGCGCCTGCCTCCGCGAGCAAATTAATTGCGTTACCGCCATTCATTGATGCGGCCACGACTATCTTCTTTTTTCCGTTCTCGCCAAAGAATGGTTTCGTGAGAAGTGGAGAGAAAGCCATTTGATTTACCATTGGTGAAAAACACAGCTGTGCTGATGTCCCCAAATTTAGCACTAAACAGATTGGATAAACAATGAAATGTGGTTAGTTTTTGTTCGAAATTTTAAATTTGCTTTTTTGCTCATGTGAACCAGAAGTTTTGGACTGCAACATAAATTCAACTCTCTAAATTTAGATAATGAAGATACTTCCTAATTGATTGAACATGTCAATTGTCATGTTTTAAATGATGAATTAAATGGATAGAAAACAATTGTTATGTTTTAAATGATGAATAAAAGCGCAGAAATGTTATCAAATTTCAAGCTAGTAATTCTAACATGCAGGTTACTTTTAGTTAAATTCTGTGCAAGCACTCCGAAGTCAAGGTTATGCTTCTAAAGAAAAAAACTGACAGCGTTGTTTAACAATAAATAAGTTGAAAAGAATTTAATTATTAAATAAAAAGATCGCATGTTTTTCTTCCTTCTCTTGTTAAAGAGAAATGATATCAAAACTAAAAGATAACTAATAGAAATTCAAGTACCAGCGGTTCTAGGTTCTAGCAACGGATAAACGGTACTTTGAAGATCACCACAGGATGCTAAAAGTTTTGCACCAACTGGCAAGCCAAAATTAGCTCGCTTTACTAAACCAACAATTTCTTCCGCTGAACAAATCGTTGGGAGTAAATGTATTGGTATCAATTTATCCTGAAGTGAAATATTTCAAAAAAAAAGTTAACACAGCAGACTTTCTCAAGAAAAATTTCTGTAATACTACCATATTCCATACCATGCTATACATCATCACGGGACAGAAATATACATCAATACAACAAAATATCAGCAAAATATAAAGTACCACAAGCAGTTTTTCTAGAACTCCAATGAGCGAGTCATTCAGTGATGAAATATCCCGCACTTATGAATCAGTTATCCGCAAAATATTGTATACCGGAAGAATAATATGAAATGCTACGTAAAAGTACTTGAATTCTTCTAGATTTTTTACGATAAAATGTCATCCAACCTGCTTATTGTTAATTATTTCAATATTTTAAAAGCCTACGTAAGAAAATAAAATGTCGTGAAATTATATATTTCGCATTTTATTCTTTTAAAACTGTCATAAAATGAAGAAGGAATTTAAAAAATGTAGACCGGTACAGTCCAACATCCATTATAGGAGCAGTAACCCCAACTGTACGCATTCTGAATACCAATAAATGCATTGGGGGATTGAGAAAGGTAACAAATGACCATATCCATGATGGTACCACAGCAAGTCCATGCTGCATTTAGTTGACCAGAGGAATGAAGCCATGCAAGAGTTACCATACCAAATCCAATATGCAAACAACCGCAATCCCATCTGCGCATATCAATCAATATATGGATAAAATTAACAACTAAATAGGTTACTAATTTGTAATGTTAATTTGAAAAAATTTTGTCGCTTTCCAGAAAAATATTGCACAACCATTTTTCTTGTTTTGAAGAGGTCAAACCAAAATGCATTAATAAAAAAGCACACTCACACGATCAATTTGAGAACAAAATGAAAAAGCACACAAATTGTTTCTGATAAAAGAAGTGAAGAGGTGAAACCTGGGAAGTGACTCGAGAAACTCCATGGGTACTCTTTCATCCATCCATGTTATCAATGGAGAACAGCTAAATTTACCTAAAAATTATCCATCATTCATTCATCACAGTTTGCTTTCATCCTTCGACGATCACATTAAATTCCATTTTGTTCATGCAATTGTCATTTGAGAAACAAAATTTCGTCATGATTTTATCTTCAATTCCCCTTCACACTAACCCTTCGCTAAATCCTGTCCATTCCAAAGAACGATACCATGCATCTGTCCTGTGATACTAACTGTCACATTCAATGATAACTTTACTTCCATTGATTTTATCAGGCTATGTAAAATTTTCAATATTTTAACAGGATCCTGTTCACGATGCAAATTCGATCCATGCTTTAACCATGCATCGTGCACTGCTGACTTTTCCATAAGTATCCTAAATTTGAAGCTATAAAAGATGAATATTCCAGCTTCAAAAATTAATTAATGCATGAGAGAAAAACATATTTCAGAGTAGTTGAACAAAATTAATGAATTAACATATTACTTACTAATAGTAACAATTCTAATAAAAAAATTATCTCACAGTAATCAGTTGTTCTTTTAATAAAACTGGAATTATAAAACCGCATCTTAACTTGAAAAAATATTTATTAAATTTTGAGTGATTAGGCCATACTTCATGAATCGTGAGGTAATTGAATGCAACCTGATTTTATACTCAACTTTATACTTTCCACTGTTTTCTGATTGTAATACTATCTACTTTTGCCTTGAAAAGAAGAAAAATTGAAGCCTTACCGGCCGTCATTATCCAGAATGCAACACTTAACACTCGTCGTTCCGATATCAATTCCAATAAAATCACCCATTGTTGCTTCGTCCATCGAAATTCTGGCTGCAAACATATCAATAATCTACACTGATTAATTTTGTGCTCATCTAATCTGCTTTTAAAATATCACTTATGTATGCTACTATTGCTTACCATACATAAAAGACGTCTTAATCTTTATGTAATATAGAAAAACACACAAATAGCTGTACGAGGCGCTAATCTGATGCATACATGTCAAGCCAAACCTTACTTACATTTACCTCACACGTACATGCAGCTATTTTTATATCATTGAGCAATCTGTTGGAGTTTTGTTTAACGTGTCTTAAAAAGTGTCAAGAAAGTTTAGTTAATCACTTGTAAGACACGTTAAACGGCCCTTTCATTGTCCGCTTATCAATCATTCTTGCACTTTTCCGTTGTTTATTTTTATGATATTCAATGACATACGTAGATCAGATCATATCTTTTTTCGGGGGCAAACAGATTTCTTCCCGAGCCTCAGTCACTACTGATCACAACGTACCTAACAGGTTCAACAAGCTTCTTCGTTTGTTCTTTGGATTATGAATACCGATTGTTTTAATATCAGTACTGAAGAATTCGTTTTTTTTCAATAAAAAATTACGCATTATGCATTTAAAAAGTCAAGAAACAACGAATATTAATTTTAAATCCTGTTTATTATCTTCTCATATCGACAACAAATTAAACAAATGAAGTGGACATCACTAATTTCTATCATACTACTTGGAAAAACATAAAACAAATTTCGAAGCAAACAAATCTACCCACAAATATACATCAAAACATATACACATATGTTCCGCTAGGATAAACTCTTGCGTGTCCTTACTCTCTTTCGTAAGAATCATCTTAAGTATATTAGAATATTAAAAATAACTTAGGAAACAAAGCAGTTGATGGGAAGTTAAGAAATTCATTTCAACATTAACTATTTCGAATATATAAACCAAGTAAATCAAAATCCATTTTGCTGATGCTAAAAGGCCATTTTTTGATCTATTTTTCTGCAAAAAAAGATCGTATCATCTACGTCAACAAATGGAAGTACAATTAAAGATTTTATTTAATACATAGAAAAAAAAGAACACATTGGGATGAAGTATAAAAATGGAAAACTGTTCAATTCTTAAAGCAATGGATAATGGATGGATATATATAATTAAGGAGAAAAAAATAAATGACAAACAAGCGACTGTAGAAATAACGTAACAAATAATGAGTAGAAAAAATGACTACTTCATAGAAGGTGAGGAGACAGGTTGTGATAAATATTAGTTGAATTTCATAATGAAAATTTTTCATGGTTAAAAATCACGAAAAAAAAAGATTGTCAGAAGACAAATCAGAATTTACTGAGATTATTATCTTAAGTAGAAAGCAAATAATTAAAACAAATAGAATAAAGTAATAGTGATTATAATTATGAGATGAAAAGTTATTGTGGTTATGTATAATTTAAAAAAAAAAAACAAAAATAGTAGTCCATAAAGGAAAACGGAAAGAATAGATTTACAAAAAGAAAATATGACCAATCAAATTAAAAACCCGTATCTTAAAAAATCTCAAAATAAATAATACTGTGCATATAAATGGACTTTTGTCACCTATAACTACTGTAAAAAATCACAAATCACCAAAACTATCCACATAATTTATCCGTTTTCATATGATGGAAAATTGATGGAGAGTGATGGAAAATTTGAATAACGAAAAAAAAATTGGATGAGATCTTGAACGAATGAAAACAGAAATTATTCGTGTTATTTACAACTTTGGTTAATCAACAATATGAAAAGAGAAGGAAAAGGCTAGGCAGAGAGGATTTCATAATGAAAATAATTTTTCATGGTTAAAATTTGAAAGTGCTGACTATAAACTTTGCCTACGTATTTCAATCCTTTCTAACAAAGTTTTGTAAAAGACAGTATTACTGTCTAGAAGTATCCTCCAAATTTACCATGAACAAATAACTGAAAAGGCATACATGTATTCGTCAATCTTTATTAATCCTTCGTCACTTTTGCGCTATTTCCGGATTCTGCCAGCCAAATCATAATCTATTTGCTTTTTTCGCCATCACAGTTTCCACTTTCTGTGATGATTTTGACAGAATGTTTGAATCCTGCGATTCATTTGGAGTAAGTACTTTCCTGAACACATCATCTGGGCCCATATTGTTCACCGCCAAATGATATGCAGCTACCATGGACTGTGAATTTAATCTTTTTGTAATGCCTTAAAATCAAGAAAGAATCATTTTAAATCTCTGATTTTAACAAGAGAAAAATAGGCAAGTTTCAAAAAACTACTACACAACCTTATACCAAAGCAAGTCCGAAACTATGAAACTTCACGCAAGAAGATTTAATCAGGGTTTGTAACCAAAAATATACAGTTTTGCGTACGCTGTGTTAATTAATCAGGGTTTTAGTGAAGTAATAGAAAAAAATGCTACAATACAAATGCAATGTCCTCTTGGATATCCTGGTTATGTAAATGTACATCTTTTTTTTTTTTGTAGAACTGAACTAACCGAAAGGTCGCAGATGATAAACAAGATATTCCAAAACGTACATCAATGAAGGATTTACATAATGAAACGATATTGCATAATCACTACAACATTCTGGACCCTAAACAGAAAAAGGCAATTTGCGAATCTTTTGAAATGTTAAATGCTAGACTAAGATATAAAGCTCTAAATATATAAAACTGATCTTCGAAAACATTAAAGCTAATCAAATGAGACTAGATTATGAAATTTCATTTCAGTACTTGGAATCCTTTAACACTGTAAACAATAAGGAGTATTATCAGAGATTTTGTTTTTTAAAAAAGGACTAGAATGTCTCTGGTCTAAAAAAAAAAACACTGAAAGCTCAGGATAAATTACGAGGTACGTGTGTTGGATCAGCGACAGGATGATGTGAACATGGAAGAAACGAACCTGTTCTATAGGGTAATATGTGTATTTCCAGAACCAGAAATTTTTATCTACATGTCCTGGTGTCAAATGATGGGCTGGTACAAATGGTAGAAACCTGAAACATCGGTAATATTTCTTATTATTTCAATTAAAAAACCCGTCATGACAAGTATTTATTGCAGAATCATCAAATTAATATCCCCTTCATAATAATTATTAACCTGTGATGGCCCTCAGCATCTCTCGAATCTCCTGCTTTTACGCCAACTTTTTCCAAACATTTTCCAATTTCTGCATCTTCCGCACCAGCTTCACTTTTCTTACACTTGTTGGGATCCTTAATTCCGCTCCAAAGTAGTCGTTTCAAAGTGGTAATATTTCCGAATAATTTAATAGAAGTCAAAAAACTATTCATGATGCCAACATAATTTTCAGTCAACCGCAAAAACAATTTAGTAAGCAATTAAATCATAAATCAATGTCCTAACCACCCCATCAGATTTCTCTTAGACAACTGGATATCTTCTTGAATAATATATTAATTATTTCATCATTCAACACTCATCCAAATAAAACAAAATTACTGGAAGTGCTTCGGTGACAAATTTTTTAAGAGCTGCTCTAGAAAGCACATAACCAGCTCCACCACTCATATAACCTTGCTTTGTGAAGGGTTTAAATTTACAACCAAACCAAACCGGTTCACTTGGATCATGTGCCAAAAGCATAAATCTGAAATAAAATATCATGCATTACTTTTACCTTATTTTTTCACTTTTTACTTTCATGTTTTGCGATAAATTCTTTGCCATTTGTATAATTAGAGTTTCTTGCAAAATGAACTAAAAATAAAGTACATGAAGGTTAAATAATAATAAATGATGAGAGAATCCAAAAAAAGTGATTTTTTGAAAAACTGATTTTTGAAAAAAAGTAAAAAAAAGTGAGAGAATTAAAAAATGAGATTTTCAGAAATGAACAAGAAACCTCAAATTCTCCACAATAACATAAGTATCATCGTCTGCCTTCATAAACCAATCATAATCGTCAAGGTAAAAATCATGCAAATATTTAAATGCTGCTTTCGTCTTGGCCCATAAATGTTCACGACCTTCTGATATGTTCAAATTTATCGACGGTAAGGATGGATCTGTTTCGGAAGACATAAATATATACCTGTGATTGAACGTATTTACAATTGAAAATTAAAGTAATGATTACTTATAGCTCCTTAGTACAGATAAACCTTGCAACGATAATATTAAATGTGTAGCGGTAAATTATGTGCAAAATATTACGAAATAAAAAACAAGTGAAACTTCTTTCTTTTCAGTCCCATTGCCACTAACGCTAAGTACGTTCTTTAGATTTTGTCACCTGTTAATTAATACCTGGCAATAATTATTGACAAAACAACACTAACTATTTAACTCTTACAATTTCCAAATGATTTGAATTGTCTTTTTCTCTCTCCTCTTAGCCTCTCCTCCTCTTTCAACCTCTTTCTAATAACTCTTTTCAGGCTTCAAAGATAAAACATTATAAATTTTTTATGGGGAATTCAAATCCACTAATAAAATGGTACATGAATAAAATAATAGTTTTATTAATTATTGTGTTTGCTGTAATTAATGCAAAGAATTTAATTTACTTTGAACAACGTCGACTCCACGTTGCTTTCACGTGTCTCGCTCTCTTCTCATGATTCTGTTTTCCCGTTAATATCCAACAGAATATTCGTACTTTTGATTCCAATAATTTTGCCACAGAATTATCATCTTTAAAGATGAAAATTTCGAAAGTCTTAGGCAATCATAAAAACTTAAAAGACTGAAAGACTGTTGAAGCAGAAACAAAATTAGGCCACCCTTAGAAATTCAAGATAAATAAACTATAATTTCAGATATAAGGAAATACCGTCATGTAGGCTGGTTCCATTTCCATGAAAATACATTGGAGCAGTTGGTGCATTACTGTCGTTAACTTCCCATTCATTATGTGCATCATCAGAGCGCCCGGAAATTCGTTCAGGATTTTGCTTAGTTACTAGTCGAGCTATCGGTGAACTTATCATATAATTACCTGATAAAAGAAAAATATATGAGATCAAGTTTTACTATGGTCATGCGCTTTTAACAGGAGGTAATTTAAAATTATTTTTTCTTCCATCGATTTAAATTTTTAACTTTTGAGGACAATAAAATAATACAAATAAAAAATAAATAAAACTTTTAAAAACAGGCAAAACTTTCTACAGCAATAAAATTTAAGACAATAAAAATCACGAGTAATAAGGAAATTATCAAATGATGGAGTGTTATTTTTTGATTCCTAAAGTTGGACGTGTTAAAAGCTAATCTCAGGCTTCAAAGCTAATCTGGCAGGACATAGATTTCTGACCTGGAGGAATTCGACTAGCTCGTATTAGGTGTAGGATATCCAAACAGATAATTTTAATGCCATCAAACCATTTCCGCGCATAAAATTGAGGACTTACCAGATAGAGATAGAAATGATAGAGAAAATCCAATGATGATGCCTAATAACACATAAAATCCGGATGATAATGACCGCACATTAAGCGGCATTTTCCTACCAATGATCGAAACTAAAACCATTGTGCATTAAAATCAACCCATGAATAATTTGAGCATAGCTTCTGCTATCAGTTCTGGAATTTAAAAAAGAAAAAATTCTCTTATTTTAATAATTTACAAATAACTGTACAATATTAATAGAATATTTACATTCGTCGAAACACCAAGAAATATCAATAGCCGAAGAAGTTTAACTCGAAATATATACATCCAAATAAAAATTTAATCAATTTATTGAAAAATTTTTGAAGTATTCATTGCACATCATCATTTTAATAGCACCAAAAAATGAAGATAATTACTGGTGATTGCTGACTAGGCCTTACTGATAGGTTAATCATTGGAACGACCTTTTCATCTCACCATAAGCAGTGTTTAAATAGATAAATCAAGTGCACGTCATTTAACGCTATATTTTGTAATTATTATTTTATGTTGCCCCTAATATGGCTGTTAATTTAATGGTAATCACAGTGCTTTGATATTTAATCAATCAATGAGTAATATATATACCACATTTTTACATCCGTCTACAGTTTTACTACTATGACAAGCTAAAATATAATACAGTCCAAGCCTATGCTATCAGTTTAGATTATTCATTTTGCTTCGTGGAGCCATAATTCAATAAGCACGTTCCGGATGCAGAACAAATAAATAATCAATCGGGTCAAATTGGTAGAATGACAATTTGTAAATGATTGGATGGAAACGAATGAAAGCGATGGGAACTGTAATGAAGTGGTACTGCAAATTTCCCGTCATAATGAAGGAAGCAATGAAATGTCAAAAATGAAATAGCTTCAATTGATGGCAGCTTATTTTTTGACTTTCCTTCCGATCCCCCCNCTTGAAAATGTCACTCCAAATGAACGCCGCCTCATTCACTTATTTTTTTTAGCAGCCGTTAGCTAATCATAAATCTGTACAAAATGGTGAACTATAATTTAAGCTTAACACTTCCGTATCACAAAGTTTTAATCGGATGGATTTGTCACCATCATCTTCTTGTTATAAAACAATTATGCACACATTCACATGCCGGATATTAGTTATTAAAGCAATTTTTTTTCAATTCAATTACTCAAAATTTCGATGCCATAGTGAGCTATTGAGTGAAGCAAATCACAGACACGACGTACCAATTAAAACATATATCGACTTCACAAATTTTTCTCCAAATTTCTATACATAAACAAATTGATTAATTTTCAAAGTCTTATTTTTCGAGCTTATCATAAGCAAGTTGCAAAGTAATTTCATCCATTAATTACGATTTATTAATTAGAAGTAATTGAACGGTTCTAAAAAATATGATCAACTATTCGTACAACACAAAACGATATTTCATGATGGTAGTTGTAAGCATATTGCCTAGCTATCACATTGTCTACAAACTCTCCGTTATTTCCTGACTGCACTTTCAACCAATCAACCGATCAATTAATCATATTATGGATGAAATCACCGAATGAATTAAATCCCATTGAAATTCAAACAGAAAAGACACAAAGCTAATCAATATGGAAAGCTCCGTTCTCTCTCCAACTAACATTTTGTGAACGGTGAAAGTGAGATAGCAAGCAATACTATATCGCTTCTGTACTTGACCACTATTTGTAACTATCATCACATTACTGCCTAAATGCCCATCTTTCTCTTCATTCGCTATCATATCTACCAAAATATCAATTTTTCATCACTACTCTATGTTATATATATTTCTACATACAGTATCATCTATGGAATCTATGCTCAGCTAATTAGGAATCTTGTATAATTCAAGATTCCAGATTAAATTACTATTCATATTTTTATAATTAATGAAAAATTTGGAATAATCCAACATCTGAAATTTATATATTCCATCTATTAATATATACTTTTCTAATAAATATACGATCAATTTTTGTGTAACAAATCGATATCAACTAACTGATCGTAAATAGATTACATCTCAATACCACTTTATCTATAAAATCTTCGCCAATTCCTACTATTCAACCAATCAATTATTTGGATGATAGAGGCATTTTATATTAAGTACATTACATATTACTTTAAAAAAATCTTACATTTCTGCATAATGATAATCTTACGTTCACTTATTCCTAACTTCGAATAATTTCACACTAAGCCATTTCCTACTGAAAATCACAAGGCAAAATTAAAATTCGATATTTACTATTATAAACTGAACTGAGACAAATATGATAAAAGTAACAAACGCACAAAAAAAAGGTACAAATTTTAACGAATTGTCAGTTTTTCGAGATTTTAAACTATAAATGAAAACAAACTTGTAAAATGTGTCAAAAAATGAATTTACCTTACGCTCCATTTCTGTTTAGTGATAAAACTGGTAAAGTGATAAAGCTAAACATATCAGCAGAAAAGAAAAATGATAACTGACCTCCGATACACTTTCAATTTCGTGTAAACTCTTATGCTTTTCCTTCTTTTCTTTTTCCACCTTGTTTATATGTAATGAAAGAGTGGAAACAACAGAATGACAATATGTCAAAAATATGTTGAACTTTATAATACATATAATATATACACTCTTTATTGCAATCACGATCAAATAAGTCCTTCACACTTTATTAAATTCGAAAATTTCGAAGTTATTGAAAATTGTGCACCTGACAGGATTTAATTATTAAGAGGAAAATATAGCCAATGCCGCAAAACGAATTACATATGCATTAGTGACAGGATTTATGTGTATGAAAATGATTTGATTTTAATCCATTAAAATTATTACTGCTGCATGAGAAAAAAGATGAGAGATATATTACAAATGCAGTTGCAGTGGTCCAGATTGCAGTAATTTAGACATTTAAAAGTTTAATACTTCTATGGAATTTAGCAAAAAAATGCAAACTCAAACATGAAAAAACAATAAAACTCCGAAATTAGGTAAATAGTCCCAGAAATAATTGTTTCAAATAAATTTAATTTGAGAAATTACATAAAAAAAGCTCACCATCGAGAATCAAACTTCAACCATATGTATGAGGAGTTCAATATGAATTATTAAATTAATTGCTTGAATTTGATTTATAATGGAAAAAACAAGCAAATTTAAACAAACAAAAAAATTGACAGTAAGCAAAGAGAAAACGAGGACAACATATGGCAAGTTCATGTAGAAATTTTAAAACCTTTTTCCCACTCTTTGCATTGTTGATTAAGGGAGAAAATAAAAACTATATAAACAAATACCATAAATATTATTCTAGCATAACAGACAGACAAACGAGTTTAATCAACAGATTTTATGATAAGATTATTTGTCAGCAAACTCTTCAATTGCTACGAATATGACGGTGCAATATTGTTTCATGGAGCAAAACAAAAACTTTTTAAAGAACCAAACTAAATGTGCCACTCCAAACTAACTAACACAATCATTGTCTATCAAGTATTTCAATCTTCAGCAATATTGAATTTCGTCTGATGAAAAAATGATACAGATTGAGATAACAAAATTTTTCATTTCACATTTAAACGCGCTACAATAATCATTCTAAAGTTTCCTATTTTTTTTGAATTCTTAGTAGTGGATGAAGAGAGTGAGAGTATATTAAGAAGTATGAATCAAAAGAAGTTATTCAAAATAAGGAAGCATTCTGCCATGAAAAAAATATCCGTCGTACAAGTTATCAGAAGGAAAAATTATGACATTTAACATTGCAGTTAGTATTAATGAAGTGGAAACTTTACAAAGTAAAACTTGTTTAACTGCACGTACATCATAATTTATTCATTTAGCAGATATGAATGACAAATTTATGCAAATTTTACACTTTTCCTTCCAAATATATAATGCTATAAAAATTCTACAACAGTACACCATTTCTTATAAGCCATTTTTTAGCTGAAAATGAGTATGGTATGAAAATGTAGTTAACAGTTATATTCATTGGTTTTTTAGCAATAGAGCATCGAAATATTTGCCCTTCCAAAATCTTCGCCACAACATCAAACCAAACTTGGATAATATTTCCTAAATCAATTAAATTTATTGACCATTAATAGAGCGACCGGTATAAGTGCCTGGGGATTAACAAAATATCATCGATTCAAGAAATATTACGGAAAGATATTCTTTATTTTTTGGAATTTCTGGAAGATAAACATAAGAACTATAGAATTTAAATCAATTTAGAAACTTTCGAGCATTACTTAACGATAAAGGAAAGATAAGCTATTAATAAGAAATTTCTGGGCACTACCACATTCTGTGTGCAGTACACCATGTAAACAACTTTATAGAAGGAGCAATTTTTTAAACCTAAATGTTTTGCTCTGCTGGTCACTTCAGCGTCGATTAGCAACTGAAAGAGTTTAATTATTAATGGAACTGAAATTTGACTTTATTAGTGAAACATGCAATCAATTGCGAGAAGTGATAGTATTTTTTAATTATATGAAATGATAATATTTTAAACTATAATATGTACAATTATACGGAAATCAAAAATCAAAAATAATATACATAATTGTACGGAAATGGACAAATCTAGCATATAAAGTAATAATTTACTGATAATTTTTCGCTTACTAAAATCAGTGCACAGTTAGTTCCCTTTTGTAGTCAAAAACAGCGTCGGTTATGTTGTGGTAATGACTTCAATGCACTGAGTATCCTTGTCGCTGTAATTTGGCTCATTTACACAAATGAAATTTTCATCTCAGATTAGCTCATTTCTATTCTCAACGTCCAAATAATTCCTGTAAATACAGAAAAAAACAAACATATTCTCTTAGCAAAAGAAACATTTCCTCCAACAATACAAATTGCATATAATTCAAAATGGAAACAAAAAAGAAAATTTTAAAGAAGTGGTTAAAGAACTTTTTATTGTTGCAAAATGTTAGTATAATAATAGGAAACGATTATTATTACATTCCTTCCAATTCCATCATTTTACCAGCTGTTTCATTATGACAGTAATAAAAAACATTTCATTTCCACAATCACTTAC